CTTATTTTAGCCCACTCGTCCATTTAAATGATTTAATTTTGAGCCTAAATGATATACTATGAAACTGTAGTAATTTCATTAATCATTTCTGAAGTTTATAGTTGCATTCAGTGAATAGTTTCTAGAACTTAATGCTACTTATTCATGTTATCGATATAAAGAAGTTGTCATAATTCATTTATTTTCGGTGATATCATATTCTCTCACTTTAATCGTTCAATCATGAAATTTTCGTTGTCTTTATAACTCATTTTATACATTTAAACGATAATTGTGACTGGATAATTAAATATGAAAATTTCTAGAAATGAATGAAAGCTCTTTGAAGTCATATACGTTATGGATCATAGAAAAGAAATGCTTTGATAAGGAATAAACTTTCACTAAGATCGCTTGAATACTTCTGAATCCAACTATCGCAAGTTATTTTGTGACTTTTTAAACTTTGTTTCCTTCTTCATTACATAAAAAGAATAATTTAATATCACTGAATTTTCATTACGATTATGTAAGCATACACAATTTCTTCTGTGTTGACGATATACAGAGAATGAAACAAAATCAAATAAGGGATAGGTTTAACACTGTAGTTGATCAGTCTCTTATTGGCATATGTGCATACTGTGTGTATTGCTTCGATATTATCTTAAGTCACAAGCTTTATAAGCAAAGATGGATAGTGGCTAGCAGTAAAATCCAAGGCGCACGTTTCATCCTGTTTGGCACTTGTCACCTGGACATACCTGCATCTCAGATTTTATATCCATCCCTGTACTCCAACCCAGGACCATTCGCTTCGAACGCTATGCTGTTATTCACTTAACTACTGAGTTTATCATTGTTTAGAATGCTTGTGAACTAAGGCAAGTCAAGGCTATGCTAACAGTATGCACATATGCCAATAAGAGACTAATCAATTGCAATCCTAACCATTAATGGGAAGATTCAAGTAAACAACACCTAGTGCATTTAGACTTCACCCCATTGCACAAGCAAGTAGTTATCAGGACTCAGTAGCTAAGTGGATAATGCAATGGCGTTTGAAGCGAACGGTACTGGGTTGGAGTACCGGGGTGGATATCAAATCTAAGATGCAGGTACATCCAGCTGACGAGTCCCAAATAGGACGAAACGTGAGTCCTGGATTCAACAGCTAGCCACTATCCATCTTTGCTTAAAAAATCTAGCCTAAATCTAATATTTGATCCATTATTTAATCAAAATGAATAGATTGATGTAGTTGTCGTTAATGGACATTTCTTTTGTGAAATAGGATTGAATATTCGAAACTAATGATTGGAAGTCGAGTGATTCAAGCATCAAATTTTATTTAGTGTTGAAATTCACAGATAAGTAAAGTAAATTGTTAAGAGTCAATAATTTGTGTTTTTTTCGACTTAGTACACTGGTTTTTAGATTAATCAAATTGTAAAAGAATTAGACCAATTCAAAAAAGTATCTTCATTACAATCATCATGAATTTTATTACACTAAATGGTAAGAAGTAAAACTTATATTATAAATACAGTATATAAACTTACAACAGTACTTTGTTTTACTTGGTAGATGTTTACCAAAACCTATAGTACTTAAAAGTGAAAGTTAAACATTCTGTCTGGATTTAGTATTTGTTATTACAGGTGATCTATTATGATATATACATCCCTACATTTTTGATTAGATAAAAAGATGGTTTTTTAAATAGATCGTAGGTTTTCAATCAGTCTATTCACTAATTCACTTAAGTGTTGAGTAAGCTCTAAGTATTTTATTCTTCAAAATATATTGCAGTGCTTGAATAGTCAGTTTAATGAATGAAATTGACTTTTTTTCAAATTAGTTAATTTGTTTCTCATGCAACCATGACCTTTGTCCTTTAAATGTCATAAACAAAATAACCATTATCGTTGAATTATTAATTGGAAAATGAAAAGTTTGTATTTTGGTGGAGTTTTGTTCTCTGAGCTAGATGGTAAATAGACTTCTATCTGAAGTTTGTGCTGATGATGTCGTTCAGAAGAACGATGAAAGCTCCACGACCAAACCATCCAGCTCAGAGAACAAAACTCTACCAAAATCATCCACCTGAGCTACAAATCTTCTCCACCATCTCGAAAAGTTTGTTTAAGTTTTCTCCATTTTATTATCTTTTCAAAGGAATTTATCTGCGAATACAACTTATCAACTACTCTTGAGTTGGGTACACATATCGAATCTCAGCTTTATCTGACATAAAAAATTAGTTGTAGTATCGAAATTCAGTTGTAAGTAATTGGTTAACAGTCTAATAGCACAATTTCACATAATTCGAAACCCAATGATTCTTATTTACATATTCTAATAACAGATGAAATTTTTACTGAATTCATTTATCTATAGTATGATTGGCTCAAAATACTATCCATTGATTGGCTGAAAGGAACAACTAATTGTTCATTGGTTTTCAGGATTAACTTATTTTAGGAAACAATTTATTATTAAAATCACACTTGATGAGTACATTTCAGTTGTCTGTGCATACGTATGACTACTACAAGCCCTATTGGACTTACAAATAACGAATTGACTGTTAAATTAGCAAATAGTGATTATATTGTCAGCGAACCAATTACTGTGGATACGTCATCTATGGATGTGGATTCAAATGGTAAGTCAATTTTAAAATATCTACTTTCCGAAATAAACATTTTTTTTCCTTTACACTTATGGATACAACTGAAAATGACAAATAATTTCAGATAAATTGGACATTTCGTGAACTGGTAATGATAAATTTAGTGACACATGTGTAATATCCCTAGTAGAACATTGAAATTCTAACGTTTTATGATTGTATAAACCACTTCTTCACGATGGATATGCCTTTGGGTTATCAAACACATATATTAATCAGTCTAAATAACTTCTTGGTAATGAATGTATTGGATTTCTGACAAATAAATATAGTTGGAATCATGAGTCAATTGAAGCTAGACCACCATTGAAAACCTGGAAGCACTAGACGGTCGTTTCGTCCTAGTATGGGACTCAGCCTCTGGAAATAAATATAGGTTTTGTTAACTTAGTTCATTATCTTCTTAAAAATATTGATAACTATCAAACAATTTCGTCAGTTTTAGGTTTATTTGGTTGATACCTGTCACTACACAACACAGCTTTCAGAGTTACACATAGAATCCCACTGAACATAGTTTTTGTATACAGAAAATTTTTTGACCGGACCTCTAAATTTAACCTGACCTAAATAAATACTCTTAAGTTTGTTAAAAACCATTTTTCATTTATGTTCAATCTTAATTTATAATCTACATATCTTAGTAGTTAAGTTACTTCGTCTCTTTTCATCCGTTTTCTTAATTACATACTATTAATTTCATAAATAGTATTAAACATTTTTATCCCAATGATTAATCCAAAACTCAGTCCTTACTCCTGTTTTTACATGACGAGTTTTTACAACTAACCATTTATACAATCTTGTCTTTAACTGTCCATCAGTCGGGTAACCAACTGATTATTGTCTTTAGGGAAAATATTAAGAAATCCGTTAAGTTGGATCACCACTTTATTTCTTATTTACACTTTTCTAAATTGTAAGAACTATATGTTAGTGGAGATCCATGATGAACTAATTGGAAAGACATACTTCTTCGCTCAGTTTGTGTTCTAATGTGATAATAGAAACACTTGGTATGCTGTGACTTATTATCCTTAATAGTTTCACGTGTCTGCAACCACTGTGCTATATATGGAGTCTCGGTTTCCGGTTTTAATTTGACAGCTCGTTTACGAAGTATGAATCTATATACGTAACTTCAAACTACACTGGTTTAATGAATCTCAAAGATAACACCCAGGTGTTCAGACTGAAGTAGGCGGAGTCCACTCGTGAAACATTCAGTTTCCATTGAACATTGAATAATATATTCGGCTTATTCAAGTCCAGCTTACTACAATACACAATATTGAAATAGCATGTTCAATTTTATCGACATTGCGTAAATAATACTAACTTAGTGAGAGGTTAAATATTTAAGTCGATAACAGTATCTACGTACGGAGTTTTGTAGCATAATATAGGACATATTCATTTTTTGATGGCTAAAGACATTGTTGATTGCATAAAGTCCAGTAACTAAAGTGTTTCCAATTATCACCTTACTAGTCCAAAATGTTAAACTACGTTATAAAAACATGTGTATCTTTCATCTACTGAGCAGTAATATATATATATATATATATATATATATATATTTCAGGCTCAGTTTCTAACTTGAAATAATCATAAAGTGTTCACTCAATTGAAGATTTAATAAAAACGCAACAAAAATTAAGATGGACAGTGCCAAATTTCTATGACATTATTTTTCTAAACTCAATTAACTACATAAATGTAAGACCACTGGGTAAAACTAATTATAAATCATACAGCCGATACGTTTTTATAATTGAAGTGAATAGTTGTTAATTTATGCATATCTGGTTATTAATTTTTTTACCGGTGAAATATATATATTAATAGTTCAACCAAAAGAAAGCTTATTTTAATGATCATATAGTTAGGTTCAAATCTTGTTAAAGTAAATTAAATGATCAAGTTTCATATTTCTCACTTCCAGTTGCATCAAGTCATATTCTTGAACAATCCAAATCCACTATACTTCAATTACATAACAAATGTTGTCAATATATATATATATATTTTTATATATATAGTGTGTGTGTATATATATATACAATAATTCGAATTGCTTTTATCATAAAAATGACGAACGATCATATCTTAGCGTATTCATTTTAGATATCATGATTACTGATAAACCTTATATGTTATTTCTCGATGTAGCATTAAATGTAGTGTTACTACTGGTCATTATTCTTATTATCGATATATATATATTTATGTGTTCCCGTCTACTATTCCATTTATCTCAATAGTTTATCTTATTTGATCGATACATTGCCATTCAAAAAAGTTGATTAACGCCATAGATAGTAATAATCATAACACTAATAATAATACAATAATTTGTTGTGATTTTTGTTCCACATGTCTACGTATACACACATTACTTACCTTATTACAGATTCGGAATTGAAATGAATTGTTTATTTTGTTTACAACCAGTAGTTCACTAATTTAGTCCCCCCCCAACAAAGTTTTCATTTTATCTAATACTTCAATATAAACATATGCATGTTATCAAAATACACAGTTATATATATTATACACATACACACAGGTCAGTCAAACAGGTAAGATATATCTATCAGTATTTTTGAGGTCTGTGTAACCTAGGTAACCTGATTCAATTCATTATCTTATCTAATGGGAAATTTTAGTTTCAGAAAAAGAACATTTGAATAGTTATTTTAAAAAAATCATTTTGAGGTCAATTTACCACCTTTATTCGTATAATGAATAAAATAAATATAAAGCGTTTATCAGATTATTTTAGTTCATTATATAGGTTTATTACAGTGTGTTGATATTATCCATCCGTTCAGTCTTTTTAGAGAGAAAAAAACACTGTATGAGGTAACAAACGATTCAAGAGTTATCCTTCTCTACATATATGGGTGCATATTTCATTACTTCTTTATGTGTTCATTAACGATAAAAATCATTAATCTGAATAACAATCCCCTTTACCTGTTTAAGCATAACTAGGTTACAATGCAGTCAGTTATACGAATCTCAGTTGCAACTGATTAACTGATCATACAGTCATTCCTGTATTACTCTGTAGACAAACGATTGATAATTACTATTATAACTATCATTGACTTCATCAGTAACAGAAGCAATGAATGTAACACATAAATTAATGTTGTTTGTTCATTGTATCACATTTCTTTATTAATGATCGCAAATACGAACATAAGCAATAGTAAAAATATACAAAATAACGTTTCGTTTATTAAATTTTTTTTCTAAACAGACAAAGTGACTAAACTTAGACGCCCAAGTTAACAGTTAGATGAAGAGTTATGCATATATTTGTATCATCAATTCAAATCAGTCCATATGGTTGGAGACATACTTGCTGAAGTGTTTTTTTAATCTATTCTTATCAGTTTATTCATTTATCATAGTAATACAGAAACTGAATAAAAATAATTCGTATATTTGTATAACTATTGAATAATGATAATAATTAGTAGTAAATTTTATTTTTGATCTTTATGAAAAAGAATTTTACTGTGGTGGAAAAGATTTGTAGCTCAGGTAGATGATTTGGATGGAGTTTTGTTCTCTGAGCTGGATGGTTTGGTCGTGGAGCTTTCGTCGTTTTTCTGAACGACATCATCATCACAAACTTCAGGTAGAAGTGAAGTGTTCTGTATTTAGACAGTAGAATAAAACAGATATACACGTTTTCAGTACTCGAAATGATAGGTCCTGGGTTCGAACCCCACCTGCGGGATCGTGGATGCGCACTGCTAAGGAGTCCCATACTAAGACGAAACGGCCGTCCAGTGCTTCCAGATTTTCCATGGTGGTCTAGCTTCAAATGATTCATGATTTCAACCTGTGAAGTTTCTAAAAATCTCCACAAAACCCATTCTGATAGTAATTATATGCTCAAAACAGGCTCTTAATCAATTTGTTGACCTTGGAAGTGTGAATTTTACTTCACTTAATTAAATGTAAATAGGTAGTGATTTAAAAAAGGAGTTATTGTTTGGTTTAAATATCTTAATCAAAAAAGAGTCAATGATTTGTATTGACCGGGTTAATACTAGTTGATGGATTGGTTTATTCTTCTACAAACAAGCTTTTTTTTGTTGAAAAGTAAATTTTACAATGTTATATTGTAAAAATTATCATACTTTGTTTTGTTAGTCACAAGTTGTAGATTAAAATATATACTGTTTCATAACTAGGATTACACTATCAGTCGTAAATGGGATAAATTGTGAAGATCCTAACATTTGACTGATAAGACTATAATTTTATAGACGAACCAATCAGATTTAGGATAATAGGTCTTAAATTTTGGCGCGAAATTCACTCACCCATTTGGCAAAATAACATCTTGGCATTTTAGCTAATGTTAGTTCGTGATGAAAAAACTGTAAATCTAATTCCTAACCCTAACCATCAGCTGTGAATCATAATCCTTATTCTTCAAACTACTTTAAAACCCTCATTTAGCCCTAGTAAGTAGGTAAACACTCCCAAGGTTACTTTGACATCACTCAAAGGTCATCCTTAAATTATAATCTCACTAATCTATAATTTATTTTATTAATAATTACCAATTGTTTGTATAGATAGTTCTTAACAATAACTTGTGAAATCATGACTCTGACAAAGTATTCTGAATAAGATAGTTCTTTTAGATTACACTAGACATAATGTTTTCTATAACTATGGTTCCATTTAAAAAGATTTATACATTGGTTGGTTATTAATATGATAGACTGGTGATGAGAAGTCAGTATGTTAAATATATCATCTAGTCACTATTTATTATCTTTGCTCATTATGATACATATGTTTTAAACGATAACCAGGGTTACAGCAATTCATTTTTTCTGTTATAAATATCAGAGGAATTTCAGTGATCAATTAGTACAAATTTGGTGACAATAAATGTTCATCAATTTTATGTACTCTTTCATAGCATGAAATGAGTTACAAAACTTTAAGAGATTAATTATTAAATTTTGATTTCAAAAACTCAACTATTACGAAATGTACTGTCACTGTCATTATTGAATATTATCAATCTAAACAAATCAATAAGATATACGGATGTCTGTAGAACACCACCCAAATACTAATGTTTAACCAATACCAATTTTGCAAAGGAAAGGGAAACATGATTTTCACACTGATACTAATATTTTATTCAAATTTTGTTAATAAACAAGAATTCTATTTAATTTTATACATTCATTTATCGAACAGAACATCGGTAATTGAAATTGTATTATCATATCAACTCATCTATCTGAAATTGTCCTCCAGCTTATCGGTTCATCAGTTAATTTTCACCCTCATTCAAAAATTTTGCTTTTCTCTATTTTTCTATTCAGTAATATTAATGATTTTCATTTTCCTAATTAATTTAACACAATTTATTGTTGTATGATATCATCGATTTTATTTGTTCAGGGTAACATTATCTATTTTTCTTAATAGAATTATGCTGTATACAATTACTTAAAAATTTTGAATTGCAATGAAAGCAAATTACATACTCAGATGTGAAACAACATGAGATTATAAAGTGGTTCATTCATCAAGGTATATCCAAGACGCGCGTTTCGTCCTATTCGGGACTCGTCAACTTGATGTACCTGCATCTCAGAGTTGATTTCCACTCAGGGGCTCGAACTCAATACCGTTCGCTTCAAACGCCATTGCATTATCCACTTAGCTACTGGGTCCAGATAGCTACTAAATTATACAAGGAGGATGTTTGTTGTTTAGTAAATGATCCATATACATGAACTTTAATGAAGAACGAACATGCTGGCTTAAATCAGTTTCTAGACTATATTCTTTAAAAATAGATTATGGCTTATTTATGTTGTTTTGAGTAATTTACTGTGTACATTTCGGACGATTTTACTTATGACCGGTGAGATTTTCTGCACTGACGTTTCCGCATTATTCGTAGACCTGTTTGTTGTGAAAACCTTAGTGTTATATGATTATTCCTTGACATTTAAACATTCTCAAAATACTGTTTCAGTTATGTGGAGAGCAGCAGATATATAGTTACTTTTGTTATGATCTCATCTGCTAGAATTTAAATGGTTCTTACAAATGATATATTATTAATAACCAACTGGAAATAGTGATTCATAATTTATACATCGAAATGGTCTTATTGTCTAATTACTGAAACGGAAATACCTCACAATATGTTACTTTCTTACCCTTGAATAATCGTTTTTATTGTTGTAAGACACTTTTACAATATAAAATAATAATCTTATTACATGTAAGTTAGCTATTCCCCTTTCAAATTATTCGTAACATAGACACTGAATGATAATCCCGTTTGAATAGTTATATAATTTAAGGAAAATACATGGTGATTATAAGAATTATTTGTGTCTAGTGACTCAAGATATACAAAGCATCACGCCAAAGGAAGTATATATATATTTGAGGGGGATTGTTTAGGGTGAACTGAGTGCTTTAGTTATTTTAGATCGTTTTACAAGATTATAAACAGCTCAGGGGAAACCATGAGATAAAATGAAGTCGTATTACTCCTCCTCAATTGTCATTGTAACTTTATCTAAATCCAAAAAGAGAAGTAATTGCATAAAAAACTAAATTTCATCCTGCCTATCAATTCAATCACCGAATTATTCCGCACTAGATCCAACCTAATTCCTCCTTCTGAGATTGCAGGCATTGTGGGGCTAAAACCATACGGACTAACTTGGGCGGTCGACTGAGACTGAACTAATTCACCATTTGGTCGTAATCTGGATTCTTCTGGGTCCTCTTTCAGGCACTTAATGAAAGTGATATTAAACTTTGAGCACATTGTCGAAGCAATTTTATCACTGACTGATGTCAACTAAAGGACTGCTGATTATTAAAAAGTACTAGATGGTAGATGTTTATCTTTTTTAAAGTACGTCAGTGTTAAATGTACACCATTTTCCTGTATCGTAGATATCATTCTATCTTCAACTTACAATTTGAAAGTTTAATAGTTCAATTTTTCTAATGAAATCAAAAACAATTCATTTACAAATATGCAAATAGTAATTCTAAATCTATTTAATAAACTATGAATAACTTATCCATTGAGATTATTAACCAATCTTAATTGAATACTAATAATTTTCGAGATGGTGGAGAAGATTTGTAGCTCATGTGGATGATTTCATTAATAAAAGCTCCACGACTAAACCATCCAGCTCAGACTACAAAACTTCGTCATAATACTGATAATTTCTTTTAATTATAATTAGTTAAAACTATGTTGCATTGTGTATACATAAACCCATAAACTATAAAACGATCATAATTTAAAACCTTAGTACATAACTAACGTGACAGAATTAAATGTTACTAAATTTGATTTTATATTGATAATTCACTAAAAAAGATTGATTTCATTGTAATTTTACTGATAGATTATATGTATGTGATAGTATAAACATTTAGAATTAAAAGTTTCCTACAGTTCTAATGAGGATAAAGTTAGTTAATCACTAAGAGTTCCATAGATATTCTTCTATATTATATATACATACATATCTATTTATATCTTAAA